AATAAAATTTTTCATTCTATTACAATTTTCATTCAACTCATTTATTTTTAAAACAAATAAAACTGGCTTTAACAAAACAGCAACAAAAAAATGGTACCCCAAAAACTGATCAAAACTAATCTGGCTATAGTAACGTGTTAAACTAAGGTGTGTCCTGATCCTGTAATGTTAATGTAAAGGGTGAAAAGTAGTCATAGGTCTGTTTGGCATCATGGTGTGTACCACACTGAACATGGAGCACAGAAAGATGAGGAGAGAGTATCTGAGGAGCTCAGAAAGAGAATGAYTGAGCAGCGTGTTAAAGGTAAAGACTATAGGCCATCTACAAACAGCTTMTTGTTCCTGTGACTACAGCTGCATAGATTTCTTTAAGTTTAAGGCTCACAAGACTGGAGACAACCACCCTGGATGTAGCTTCAAGAGGAAAGTTGATCACAAACTGTAGAGACAGATGAAATGAATGGTGACTAAAAAGACCAGAATAACTTCCAACAAGATTAGAGGTGAACACTAAGGTCAAAGTGCATCAGAGTCAGATTGGTCACTGAGTCAAAGTGGAAGAAGATCAAGATGTCAAATCATAAAACACTATGACTGGCCTAAGCCACAAAGCTTTTGGGAGAATGTCTTTTGGACGTATGAGACAAAACTGGAGCTTTTTGGCAATAAGTGACATCAGCTCTGTGTTCACAGACCCAAAAATGAAACAAAGAAAAGAACCCAGTCCCTACAGTGAAACATGGAGGAGGCTCTGTTATGTTCTGGGGCTGCTTTGCTGCGTCTGACACAGGGTGACTTAAATCTGTGCAGGGTACAACAAAATCTCAAGACTATCAAGGCTTTATAAAGCAAAATGTGCTGCCCAGTGTCAGAAAGCTTGGTTTTAGTCACAGCTCATGGGTCTTCCAACAAGATAATATTATTGACATGAGGGGCTTTTCGGGGGTAGGGTCTTTAGTTGGGATCAATGGTTAAAATTAGGGATCAGGATTACTGTTAATTTTAGTTAGTTTCAATGTATTGTAGTAACATTTGCAGGTTTTTCTTTCTTTAACAAGAGGGTACAGTCTGGTGAGAAATTTGTCTGTAGCTACTCTCATTTTGTGTGTGAAYATTTCATACCCACCTTCCAAACATGGGACCCCCAATCAGCTGAATCACACCAACTGTAGTTTGTAAATAACCAAACCACAACGTGTCAAATCCAAGTTTCTTTGCCAAATACTGCAGAGAAAAAGTAAACATAACTTTTAAAATGTGGTTTAAAGGAGAAAACTAAAACAGTATATTTGTTAGTGTTACGTTTCTGACCAAACTAACATTATGCTGTATATAAACCAGTCAAATGGGCCAGAAGAGCTATTAATAAGTGGGTTTTTACATGTGTTGCTAAAACACCAGACACAGAAAACAGCTCAGCTCAAAATCATTCATTTATTTCCTAAACTCATAAAACATCAATAAAAGCTGCTTATGCAACAGTTCAGCATGTGGAAAACCTGATAGTAATCAGGTTGGTTTTCAGTTTGCAAACACAGACACACATCAAGATTAAATGTTTAAGAAAAAGAGTGTTAAATTAACTTATATTTTTAGGGTGTTGAGTTTAACATTTGTGTTTTACTACATTTGTGTTCCTCAGTGTGTCTCTCCCTCTGCAGCTCTGCTCCTGCCCCGCCCACCTGATCCTCATCTTCATCACAGGTGTTTGTCTTTAGTTCATCAGTGTCTCTTTATAATCTCTGTTCACCGTTGGTTCGTTGTGTTTCTCACAGCCAGTTGTGTCTCAGTTGTGTAAGTTTGTAAATAGTTTTGAGCTGCTACGTCTGCTTTTTCTTTTGTTAATAAATCATTTTTTCCCCTCTGTTCCTTGGAGTTTTTGATGCCTGCTGAGTCAAATAACCTAGCCTAACAATATTAAATTCAGTTTAACAGCAAAGCTAAAATGTAACCACATACAATTCAAGTCCTGCTAATCTGTTTATTATCACTTAATTATAGGCTAATAATAAAGGCTTGGCAGAGATAAGCAGCTGAAACACAGAGCCTGGTGCATCCTAACTTTTCAGCATTAACATTTTAATGTATTTTATTGTTGTTATTGTCTTTAGAAAAATGTTTTTTTTTTTTGTTTTTTTTTTTGGTGAGGTGGGGTTGTGGTGCGACTGAGCTTTTAACCATAATGCATTTTTTTCCTTGCCTTACTCTTACTTTTATACTTTTTAAAACCAGTACTTTTACAACAACAAAAAAGCCTCAGTTAATACATCTACTTCCTAAAGTCTTTTTAAACCCTAGTATCTATACTTCTACTTAATGAATGTGGAGCTCTGCTCCAAACTGAGGTCATTCAAAGGGATATTTACAAACATATATAAAATTAATTGTTTTTAAGCTTCTATAATTTATAAAATGCTAATGGGTAAAACATGTTTTAGTTTTGGAAACAGATCAGATTAAATCTTTATATTGATGTTCTGTAAGGAACAAACTACTGAGGGAGTAACAATCTTGTTTTTTTTGGAGTTTTATGAGTTTTGCTTCTTTTTTCAACACTTACAGTTAAAGCACATTCAAACAATTTACTGTACATTTGTAATACATACATTTATATTTATTGCTAAGCACTTCTGGATGGATGCAAACTGCATTTCGTTGCTTTGTACTTGTGACATGTGCAATTACATAAAAGATGAATTCTATTTGTATCTACACCCACTTCTTCCTTCCAGGGTCACAGGGGTCACTGGTGCCCATATCCAGCAGTTACTGTGTGAAGGGCGGGGTACACCCTGGACAGGTCGCAAGTCCATCACAGGGCCACACATAGAGACAAACAACCATTCACTCACTCTCTCACACCTAGGGACAATTTRGAGTTATCAGTTAACCTGACAGTCATGCTTTTGGTCTGTGGGAGGAAGCCGGAGTACCCGGAGAAAACCCACGCATGCACAGAGAGAACATGCAAACTCTACCCAGAAAGATTCCCGGGCCGGGATTTGATCCTGCAACCTGCCTGCTGAGAGGCATCAGCTCTACCAACTGAGCCACCGTGCCGCTCTCTTTTTATTTGCAAGTTTGTAAAATCCAGATAAATACGTTGTTTATTTTCTCACCATGAAGCGTTGGTAGGCAGCTGCATCAGATTTAACAGCAGCTGGTCTGACAACATGTGGTGTGAGCTGGGAGGAAATGTTTGCAGCAAAACAGAACCCTGAACACACCTGTAGGCTCCAAGGCTGTTTAACCATTAAATATCAGAATTGGAGGTCTTAAATCCAGTGACCTGACCTAAACCACACCATGGTGGTCCCGGGAGAGATGCAGCTCTGAAATATAAGTGGGCCATAAGCCCAGACTTCTGAAGCTGGTGTGAGAGTTAAAAAAAAGGTTTATTATTGTGTTTTGTACACAAATCCATTTTTTACCTCTAAAAAATAAAGATAAACGTAACAAGGAGTCAAAAATGTATCAGAGCTGAGTTTTACTGGTGGAGCAACATCTGAATAAATGACTAATAGGTCAGGTTAAAATGAGTTTTTGTATAAAACTTTAAAGAACAGACTGTTCTGTTACTACCACTTAATAAAACGTATTTTACTGTGATTCTGTGAATACGGTATGTAACTTATCATATCTACTAGGGCTACACGAGATTAGGAAAACCTGTGATGTGTGATATCAGTGCTTAGTGTGATGACGATATGACTTGTGATAAATGAACAAYGTAGTGTTGATGTCTTTCTGTTCTGTTCAGAGCAAAAACAACAACAACAAATAATAATCATTTCAATTCCAGCAGATAATATAAGATTTATTCTTCTTCTGCTGCCTTTCATTTTCCTTGATTTATTTTTGATTGCATGTTTTTTGTTTGTTGTGTATATAATGGTTACAAATAAAATGAATAAATTTCTAAATAAAAAAATAACTAAAATAATAAATATCCATCTAGTTTGCTAAATTTGTGAAGGGCTCCATTTGGAGATGGACTTCCATCTGAGTGACAAAACTCATAAATGTAAACTTTTGAGACAATCATTTATTGCAGTTTATGCAGTTTTTGCAATATATAACATATTGCACAGGCTATTATCGCAATAACGATAAATTTTCGATATACTGTGTGCAGCCCTAAGTTCTACTTTGTGCCACAGTTTCAACAAAWAAATTGAACCCATTCACAGCAGTTGTAAATTAATGTCAAATGTTACAAATTATTTAATGTAACATTCATGAGGGAGTCTTCATGATGCCTCAAAATGTTTGCAGCTTTTTTCTGTTTTGTTTAAGTTTTGTTCAAACATATTTTAAAAAAAATAGCATCAGAGTCACTGTGGAGCTCTCCTCTGACAGAAACCATCTAAAATGTCCAGATCTAAAGATTCAACAGATGATTTTATTAAATAATAATTAAAAAAAGGGTCCAAATCTTCATTTAAAAGCATACTGCAGCAGATTAAATCAAAACACAGGAGCAGCTGCCGAACATGTCTGACGCAGGCAGAGCTGTGCAACAAARTAATGTACAAGGCCACGAAATGCAGCTTTGCAGAATAAAAACTAAAAACAGACAGCTAAAACTCAGCGCACAGCTTGTCTGTCWATTTTAGTCATAATCCTTGGGTTTTGGTTATTGTTTTATGGTTATGTTTTATTCATATCAGCAAATATGTGACCTTAAATGACTCTATCAGGGATAAAAAATAAATATCTTGATTGCAACAACTCTAAATAGCAAATTAATCAATACCTGGGATGAGTGGTGACTTTCACATATTTAACGTCTGGTAAAATTAAACAAATTAATGCAATCAACACAACTTTTTATTCTTCTAGGGATGCACCATTTTCATTTCAAAGAGCACTTATCCAGTCTGACACACATACCCAGAGTTCACCTACAGAAGTAACAAAAAAAGGTGAAAAGTTCAAACCATTTTTATTGAGGAGCTTAAATATAAAAAAATTCAATTTTTTGACAAATTTCTTTAAAATTTAATGCAAAAAACTATTTGGTCTACAATAAACATTTATATATGTGCAGTGGGTTAATTCTCTATATGCCACTCATTTTATTTGGCTGATATGGACTCAGTGCCCTTCATGCCCACACCTGGTTTAGATTTGTGCTTTTTTTTTCCTGATTTTATGCAGCTCTGCTCCTTATTTCTTGTCAGCAGAGAACAGCAGCTTTTCTGAAACTTCCAATAAAGATATTTAATAAATCATATGTTGATCCCTATAATAGAATAAGTTTAAAATAAATGATTTGATTATAGCTGCAGAGTTTACCAGTTGTTTATTAAATCCAGTGGTGTTTTTTTTTCAGTGCTTTTACTACAGATTTGTAATTAGTTTCAATGTTTTACTTTGTTTAAGCTGAACTGACTAGGTTTTGATTTTAAAAAAAGGCATAAATTTTCAACCAACTTAGTGTCATGAGTAAAATAAAGTTTAAACCATTCTAATGCTTTAGGAAAACTATTTAAATCTGTCCTACGTTCAACCCAACTGAAGCCTGTGTTACTGACAGGTGCTCTGGATGTCTTGTACTTTTACTCAGTACATGTATAATAAACATATAAACATTAATACATGTGTAACAAACATATAAACATTAATACATGTATAATAAACATATAAACATTAATACATGTGTAACAAACATAGATACATCAGATAGGTTTCCCGTTTGAACTCGCTTCTCTCGTGCTGACTTCAGGACCACCACGGAAATTCCAGTTTTCCCACTGTAACACAGGCAGATCTACTTACAGGAGTAACAGAAAACTGCAGGAACATCCAGGTGATATCCAGAGCAGCGATTATATAAACCACGTAAATAATCCTCGTCTTCTGTTGGTGGTCTGCGGTGGGTTTCGGAGTTCCGGACTTTTCTGCGTCCATCGTTTCGGCGTCTCGACTCATTTTAAGAAGACCTTTAGTATTTCCAAAAGCCCATCCGACCGACGACACCGTGTTGTCCCAGCGGAGCTCGAAGCAGACGGGTGTCGTGTGACGGTGGTCGGTGAGTGTCCTTTCACCTGGAGAACCTTCACATAAAACTGCTCTCCAATCACACACGGGTTGTACTTTGTAACAAAGAGGCGTTACCGGCTTTCAGCACTCACTGTAGTCCGTGTTGGTCTGAGAAACAGACCGAAACGCCTCCGGTGTGCTGAGCAGGAACAGCCGGGTTAGTTTTTTTATATTTATTAGGAAGTTGAGTTCGATGATGCATTCAGGAACCCCTCATTAAAATCGTACTTCTGAAAGTTTGTCCTGTTTCTGAGGGGAAATATGATCGTGCTTTACTCTTTACTTACTTTACTTACTCTTTACTTACTGAGAGTGAAGAAGAAGAAGCTCAGACTCCCTTTATTTAAATAAACAGTTTATTTACAGCCTCGGTTACCTAAAAGTAGAGTTATATAAGACAGATTGTCTTATATAACTCCATTGTTAGGACTTAGTTTAAAACTGTAAACTAAAACTGAGAACAACCAACACATTTTAGTCACAGTAGCACATAACAAACTTTGAAAGTGTATCATTAAAGAAAAGGCCATTTTATGGCCAGAGGTGCCAGGTGTGGGGTGACGGCCGCCCTTAAAAAACTGGTCTAGGTCAGGGGTCTCGTTTTCACCCAGGGCCACATGGGTATTTTGGCCTTCAAAGGGTCAGCTGTTTGTAAGTAACTGTGAGAAAACGTGAAACTTGTTTTATTTCTACGGCTAACAAACAGTAACTGAGCTCTACCTGGTATTCCCTGCATAGAAACAGTGTTTTAACACGTCCTCTTATGAACACTGAAAAGTGCGTCAACGACTGACTAAATGTGAAATAAATAATACAGAAACACTATTAAAAGTAAATGTAAGATAGTTTTACTCACTGTTGAGTTCTGATAAGAAGCTGCCATCTTGGATTCTGAACTGGGGTACTTCCACTTTCCGACAAGGAATTCCCACTTCCCAGTACAACTGGTTTGCAGTGAAAGTAGCGGGCTAAAGGGAGATTTTAGTAAATTTTGTCACCTGCAGGCTGCTGGTGAACCCTGTGCACCTCTGCCTCTTGGTATGAGTTCATCATTTTGTGAGTAAAATCATCAACATGCATTATTGGGTCTAAATTAGCATATGCTTATTTTTAGACATTAATGCAGCTCTCTTGGCCCATGGGCCACATTCGGCCTGCAGGCCTTGAGTTTGACACTTGTGATCTGAGGTTTTTGTGTGGAGTTTGCATGTTCTCCTCATGTGTGCATGGGTTTTTCTGGATACTCCAGTTTTCTTGGCCTCCCTTGAAAAGAAATCTGTAATCTCAGTTGGATCTGCCTGCTTAGATAAAGGTTGAATTAAAGTAATTGTGTAATATCCATGAGGATTTGTGTGTTTGTGCAGCTCTTCTGCACCATGTTATTTCAGTAAGGTAATTTTTTGCTTATTTTCCTCACAAATGAATGCCTCCACGTTCCCAAAGTCACCGCCAAGTGAAATATTTTAGACATGCCCAAAACCACTTCCTCTGGTTGCCCACTGATCAAACTCACTTTAACAGTTGGTACAAACCAAGAACACCCTGTCTCAGTGTAAAGTTTTGGTTTGAATCCACACTAGAAGCAGTTATTTTCTTTTTGATGATGCATCAGTTGTTCAGAAATGGCTTTCTTTTAATCTTTAGAACAACAGGATGTTTAAAATGGGTTTTAAATTGTTTCCTTCCTGTGTGTCTCGTACCCTGGAGTTACACAATTGCTTTAAGGCTCATGAAAATGTCCTTTCTAGTGCTGATGGTGGCAGAACTAATGTGTCTTATTTATTTGTTTTGTCTTTGTTTTATTTTCAGAAGAGTTCTGTCACATATAAACACAAAATTAGAAATAAAAAACTGAATTTCTTTTCTTAAGATAATTTAAAAAGTGTCTGCATGTTCAAACTTTGTTCCATAATAAAGGAGTATATATATA